GGGCTTCAGTTGGTCGGAACAATTTTGAAAGACAAACAGAAAATTCTTGAATACGTATAAGGTTCTACAGCAATGCACTCAACTGTGATAACAAAAGATATAAGTAGATTGTTAATTGAAATGGAAAGATTGTTAGTGATATGGGTGGAAGATCAAAATCAACAGGATTTGCTTCTAAGTCTAGCCTTGATTCAGGAAAAAGAGAGAAGCTTGGACATTGACTTGAAGGCTAAACATGGTGGTGAAAGTGATGGGGAAGATTTTGTTGCTAGTAGGGGCTGGTTAAACAGGTTCAAGGTAAGGGCAAATGGTGTTTGGAAAAATTCTTGCCCACAGTTTGTCCACCATTCCAGGGGCTCTGAAAATTATATTGGGAAAGTGACACAGACAGTGGTAGATCTTAGGAACCAACTCTAGCTTGATATTCATGAGGATGATGTCACACAGCTGTTCGAGTTTCACGCTGAAGAATTAAGTAACAGAGGACCTGATTAAACTGAAAGCAAATGTTGTCAGAGGATGTAGAGGAAACAAGCTCCAGAACCAAAGGGAGTCATTACAAAAGAAATGGCAGACGGTTTCATGCTTATTGAAGAGGGATTGTTAAAATGTGAACAGTAAGATTTGCTGAAATTCATAGATGTATTACTGAATACCTACAATGCTACAGAGATTTATGATGAAAAGAAGAGTTTCAGCTCAACCATCCCAATAAAGCCTCTGTCACTCTTACATCTCTACATGCAAGCTGCTCCCAGGTTTCAATGTAAGTGTTAAACTTTAATTTTTAGTTTCTTTTACTGTATTTTGTCATTAAATTTCCTCTTCTCTTAAACAAAGTGATTCGAGATATATAAAAGGACTTAAGCCATGATTTAGTGCACATAGGGTATGTCTTCTAACTTATGTACATTTCAGACTTAAGAACATCCTCAGGAACAGAACTCATTCGTAACCCGGGGACCCCCTGTACAGAAATACTCTTGCAGATATATTATGTTAAATTTGAATAATACATCAAATCAATAACTTGAAGCATGGGTCCAAATTATATCAATTTGATGACAAGCTGCAGGGAATTTATGCTCAACCTTCACCCTTCAGTGTACAAAAATGGTCTGCACCACACGACTATATCCTCCCAGATGAATACAGTGCAGTACTCCTAGAAAATGAATCAAAATATTTATTTTTTCTTTTGAGAGAAAAGTACAACATATACAAACACTTAGACATGTCATGTGGGAAACAGAGACAGAAAAGTGAGTTGCAATACAGTTGTCCCTCGATTAACGAACACAATTGGTTCCACAGAGTCGTTCGTTAACCGAAAATTTCGTTTACTGAATCTATTATTTCAATGGGATATTGGGTAATAGATTCCAACTCTCAGAAAAGTATACATATAAAGTACTATATACTGGTAATATAATAAACAAAACATTAAATATAAACTAAATACAGTACTGTACCATACAGTATATTGCACAATAATAAATAAAAAACAATAGATCACTGTATTTTAACTTATTTAAGGTGTGTATGTCGCATTCCCAGCAGCTTTGTTTACATATCAAATGGCTGATTGTAGAGACTGTCGATGATGACATGCCATATTCTTTACAGAGTGCATTGGTTTTAATGCCTTCTTCATGTTTCATAATAATTTCTGCTCTGTTTATTATCAATATGTTAACTAAATTTCAGAATGACCAATAATTTTAATATAAAAAATGCAAAAATATGCAAGGGCACAACTTTCTTGATATTTATCCACTGGAAATGAATGTAAACAAAGAACCGATTACTGTATTGGCGGACTAGCCGTTCAACTGATGCGCACAACAAAGAGTTTCTCATAAGGCTGTCGTTAATCGAAGTTTTGTTTGTTAATGGAATTGAAAATCCTTATGGGAGCTAATTCGTTAACCAAAATTTCGTGAATTGGACCGTTCGTTAATCGAGGGACCATTGTACTCTCATCATGGGACATACAGGTACTGTACAGGCAAAATACTCAAACATGTGCTGCATATTTCAGTATACAATTACACCAGATTTTATAGCATTGCACTTTTAACTCCAGCATCAACTAACTGTTTACATATAAACACTGAGAAAGTAACAGGTTATTGAAAGTAACATAGCAACAAGATTAATGTGATACAGTAGTTATAAATAAACAGGACGATCTTCATGTGTTATTAAATCATCTGAAACCTGGTACTGTATATTTTAACCATTTCCATATGGTCAAGTCATTGTAATATAATATACGTACAGGTATTTCATAAAAAGTGACAATTAAAATAATTACTGTAATGTGTTATGACCAATAGATTTTTTCTTCAATCTATTCATATATCAGAGCACCACAATTTATGCAACCATTAATTTTATTTTTTTTATAATATCCATTTAGACTGATAAAAAATATCATGATATCTAAAAGTAAGAAAAATTAATGTGAAATCAGAGGTCTTTTTTTACCATTACTTTTAAACATTTAGAGGCAGGTTCATCCATACTACTATGGTAAGTGATAAGACCAACTGAAGAATCCTGACTATTATACTGACTGACATAATAACTCGTACAAAATAATAAAAATATTAAAACTTCTCAATTACAACAGTAATTAAATTGGAATGTTCAACAACAGTGCCTGTAAAATTACAATTAGTAAACCCTCATTTAGACTGCTTTCACAAAAGCCGAATTTCCAAACACACGATTATCTTTCCACAACCCATATTTCATTTATATTGAGATAGGTTCTCATAAACTGTACACGTACACAGTTGCACACTGTACTGTACTTTTAATCTTCCCAGTATGTGATGCATCATGGGAAAAGTTACCTGTTCCTGGTTTTTATTTCATTTTGCCATTGATAATGATTCCACAAGTGTCCTTCATGTTCTTTTACACGTAAAGAGCAACACTAGAGACTAAGTTGAAAGTACAATATTGAGAAATCTGGAGAAATGGTGAAATAGTCGAGATGCTTGACAGGGTATATCATGTGAAAAAATCAAGCAGGGTAGTATATGTTTTATCAAGAAGGTTGGCAGATAAAATTGTGTGTGCTGTTCAACATCTATTGCATTTTAAGCAAAGATGACAGCATGAATGAAGAATCCAGTATTATATTAGAAAATACATTATAGGAGAAACATTGGTAGTATGTATAGGTAAAAACCAAAGTCAAAATTCAGTAACACTAAGCTCTGAAGCTGTAAGAACATCTAAGGTGAATCTTTGACTATTAGCTCATATTAGCAAGTAACAGCTGATATAAAAAATTTATGAACATGCATGCTCTATACAGTATAGCATGAAGTTACCAGGTGAAGCTGGCAGAAAATAACAGTATTGATGAGTAGATTATACTCATTGATAATGTTCTTTCAATAATTAAAAGGGGTCAATTTGGCTGTGAGCATAACCCCATTTTATTATGAAAACCTTTCTTCGTTTAGACTGATGTCATTTATATAGTGTAGAAGCCTTTTCTAGGAATACAACTCTTGGTACAAATGAGGAATACCTGTAATTTATAATTAACAAATTCAAAATTGGAAGGTTTTGCACTATTGCTAGATAACTAACACAAGCTTAACTCATGTATTGAACAATTTACGTATAAGTAGACCCTCAATATAATGTGGGAGTGAGACCAAGACCAAGAATAGTCTCACAATTCTATGAGTATGGGACTGAGGCCCCCGCCCCCCCCCCCCACACACACACACACACACAATCCTTTAAGAGACCACATTTACTCACTACATCACCAATTCTATCATTTCAAAACACTTTTTAACAATTTATTACTCACCTTGAGCCCGAGCAACTGCTTCCTGGATTGCATTTGTTCAGACTCAAGGTGAGTGGTGGAGCAATAGAACTTGGGGTGATATGAATTGTGCAGGATCTGTGTACAGTACATGCTAATGGCCAGTGCTACCAGACGACATGCCCATGCTGCTATGTATTGAAAATGGGGTAAACACTAGGTTTTCACAACTGATCTACTGTCTTTAGAAAAAATAATGTCTAATGAGGAAAAAATAATAATGCTTCACTACAAAATAAATCTTTCAAAATATAGTTAATGGTCTTCTTACTCCAAAGGTCACAGCCTAAAGAAACCACAATTACAGAAAATTGTAAGATCTAATTTCTTTGGAGTAAGAGTAGTGAAATGGTGTAATAACCTACCAAAGATTGTGATGACAGCAAGAGTTGTGAACTGTTGTAATAACCAGACAGAAAAATGTTGTGACAGCAGTGAGTGCGAGCTTTGAGCTTTAAGGACAGACTTGACCACATTAGTGCATGTTTTGGTACATTCTAGAGCCTACACAGGTAAGAAATTGTCAACTGTATGTAACAGAGAAAAGACTGACTGGCTAGTCATCTGATCAATGGTGAAGAGAGTTAGTTTCATTTCTGACATTTTTCATATTTTTTCATACATCTTTTTGTTTTGTTCAAAATGAATCTAAAACGTTTTGTTAAGAAGTACCCTAATCCCCAGAGTTTCTTTTCAGTTTACAGCATTTCTGACATTTTCTTTTTTTGCTTTGTACTAAGAATCAATACTTCAAGGTTTGGGAGTAGTTAATGTAGTGATTTCACTCTTATTCCTGTTATCATACTCTACTCAGGGGAAACTTTACCTCCCCATGACTAAAGGATCATGACCTGCCACAGTAGCAGCATGACTAACATGTTTCACAAAATTCTCACCCTAATTTTGTCTGAGTTCTTACCAACAAAAAATGCTAATATTGCCTCTTGAATGATTCCTGCCACCTCTCCTAAAAGTAATTGTGTTAATAACTCAATTCTTTACTGACACCTTAAATTATCATGTCCTCTTGCATATTGGACTTATAGGACTACTGTAGTTACAGATGAGAAGTAAAATTATTGCTTGAAGGTAGAAGAACAAGTTTCAAGGGATTTTGAAGGGAATTAAGGTCGCACTGGACATGGAAATTGCCGCCTATCGGAAACTTCTGGAGGCTGAGGAGACGAGGTTGAACATGTCCACAAGTCGAACAATATCAACGTCGACGGGAAAGGAGACGCCAGTCAGACGCACACCCTTAAGGTCCCTCAAATGCAAGAGCACCGTCCTGGAAGAAGACACCATCAGAAAATCGGCCTTCCAGTCTACGGCTCAGTCCACTGGGGACATAGAGATTGTCGAAGGTTGTCCAGATGGCAAGTTTGTCAAGCTTCAAAATAAGAGCAATAAGGACTTCTCCATCAGGGGTTTCCAGATCATACGCACGGCAGGAGAAGCCGAGACCACCTACAAGTTCCACTCCAAGTCGAAGGTCCCTGGCGGCGCCACCGTCACCATCTGGTCCTGCGATACAGAAGCCAACCACGAGCCGCCTCTCACCATAGTCATGAAGAACCAGAAGTGGGCAGTCGCTGATAACATGACCACAAGGCTCCTGAGTACTAGTGAGGAAATGGCCGTCCGGGAGAGTAAGCGGGAGACAGAGTCGTCGTCAACAACAAGGGAGAGAGAGTTCCAACCAGAGTCCAAGGAAGAGGAGGTGGTATCGCGACTATACACTGGTTGCATCCTTGCTTAAACCACCTAGTGTACCTACCATGTAAGAGCGCCTCCTCCTACTAACAACAACAGCAGACCGGGTGGATTATGTGGATGACATGGGGCGGCGAAACAACCTCAGGATTGCCGGTATCCCTGAAGACACCCACGAGAACTGGGAGTCATCCCAACGCAAAATTTCACGCTTGCTGAATGAACATTTTCAACTTTCTGAAGTAAAGTTTGACCGTGTTCAACGTGTCGGGAAACCCAACTCCTCCCGCCCCCGCGACATCATAACTAAATTCTCGTCCCCTTCTGACTGGGACAAAGTGTTTTATCAACGCAGTAAACTGAAAGGCACCCCTATCTTCGTCAACGAGGATCTCTGCCCAGGTATGACTAAAGCCTGTCTACAGAAAATGGACCTGTTTAAAGAAGCCAGGAAACAAGGGAAACACGTGACATTCAATCATAAAACTCTTAATGTGAGGGATTGGCCAAGTAGACACCCGCCCACTCACCCACCCGCTGTACCAACCCCCCCAAGCCCCTCAAGAACCCCCTCCCTACCGAAGGGGAACCAGCCACTGTCGCTATCACTTGCGGAGGTTCCCTCCCTGTTGGCCAACTCAAGTACTACACGTCTACCTTCTGTGGTGGAAACCAGCAACCCTCAAACCAGAGTGACAGGAGCACCTCCCACTCCATCAGGGAATCACCCTTAACAGTCATCCTAATTCTGTTGGTTGTGCACTTGTGAGTACGTTACCCCCCACCCCCACTATTATAATGTTCTTAGATCTTCCTTTTTCACGCCTCAGTGACCCTGAGTTTTTACTGTTCCTTAATCAGTATCAATGTCCCCACAATAATGATACTAGTGTCATTCCCTTAGATGTGCTAGATCGTATGTGTTACACCCCATTTACCCATGGTGTCGACACAATACTCCCTCATATCGATCCTGATGTCTTTCTACAAAACTCACTGGGTTACACCAACCCCAACTGTAACTATTACTTTCCTGACTCCCCTGAGTTTGTTCTAGTCTCCTACTACCTCATTCCTTCTCCTTGATTAGCCATAACATCAGCAGTATTCCCCTTCATCTAGATACCTTTTTAGATCAGTGTTTATCTTCTATTGCCCACAAATTTGATGCACTTGTATTCTGTGAGACCAAACTCACTAACGATATTGACCATTTGTATAACATTTCTAATTATAATAGACACTGCGTCAACACGTCATGACACAGTGGTGGTGTCGCCCTATATGTTGATATCAAGTATAACACTTCTGTAAGGGATGATTTAAAAGTTCAGGAGGAGTTCATGGAGAGTGTTTTCATTGAATTACGTAACGACACACGAAATATCCTAGTAGGGATAATCTACAGAAGACTCCACACTAATGTAAGGAATTTTCTTGATAAATTTTCGGAGCTTATCTCTATCATAAGTTCAGAGAGGAAAGACTGCTACATCACAGGAGATTTCAACCTTGATCTATTAAAATCAGAAACTGACACCAGTATTAGACCTTCTTGCTACCTGTCATTCTAAACTCTTCAACACTATAACCAAACCCACAAGAGTAACTACCACCTCTGCCACTGTGATAGATCATATCTGGACTAGCAACACTCCTAACAACCTAGCAAGTGGAATTATTTATAACAATATCTCAGATTACTTCCTAGTTTTTGCCATGTATAAAACATCCACAAGACTTGAAAGGTCTAGTAGAGTCTCAATTCAATACAGAGACTATTGTGCCGACAACATGCTCCTTTTTGAAAACAATCTAATGAATGCTAACTGGGATCTTGTCTATGCCTCCAACAAACCTAACGTGAACAGCAGTAACTTCTCTTGCATCTTCAATGCTTGCTTTGATAAATGCTTCCCGCTCAAGACTAAGTCAGTGAAAACTGTATCCATTTCCAAACCCTATATCACAAGCGAAATTAAGATAATGATAAAGGAAAAACACAAACTCCAAATGAAATTTGCAAAAAGACCCATAACTTTCGGTGATGCTTTCCGAAGTATCAGAAATAGAGTAACACAAGCAGTTAGAAATGCCAGACGTAACTATTATACAAATAAGCTCCAGTCAGCATCAGGCGACAGTAAGAAAACCTGGAATGTCATTAATTCTATTCAGAACCGGAACACTCAGCCTTCGGCCCCCCACTCAGCTTTTATGATAAACGATTCAGTTATAATGGAACCCTCCCTCATTGCCAACCACTTCAATGAATATTTTATTAATGTTGGCAAAAATCTTGCAGAGAGCATCCCTGCTCACCATGAGGAATTTAGAGCCTACCTGCAAAACAGACAGCAAAATGAACTATTCTTATCCCCTGTCACAGCAGATGAATTACTGGCCATCATAAAAATGTCCAAAGATGCAGCAGCAGGCGAAGACAATATACCAATGAGCATCATTAAGAAAGTGACCCACTTATTACTACCTGTTCTCCTTCACTAGTGGTGTCTTTCCTGATAAACTGAAAATTGCTAAAGTCCACCCGGCGTATAAAAAATCTGGGGATAAAGGTCTCTTCAAGAATTACCGCCCCATATCAGTCCTCCCAACCTTGAGTAAGATACTGGAAAAGCTAGCATGTGAACCGGACACTAATAGTATAGTGTGTCGGTAAGTGTCTTTCTGTTCCTGGTCAGTTTCTCGTTGGCAACAGAATTTCGCTTTTTATTAGGTTTTTAATAATATTGTTTTAGAAAGTATCTTAATATTTTGGTTGCTCGTTTATAAACCAAATTACTGTACCGTGGTGGGGCGAATCTGACCGGGTGGTTGTTTTTATTTGGTCGAAGGGGGCGTCCATCTCCCGAGAAATGCTCCCGGCCGTAATTCCTGAAACCGAGGTCAAAATATTTAGGCGAAGCCTCGGCGGCACTCTTAACCCCTCGACCTAGCCCGGCCGGCATGAATGAAGTGCAGTTGTGGCGGTTATGCCAGGCCGCGGCGAGACTCCAGAGCCCTCTCAGCACGTCACTTGTTTATTTGCTTCGTACGCTTAGCGTCGTATATCGGAGAAAACAAAACACAAAAAAAAGTAACCGTAAATTCGCCAAGCTTACTAAAGTGCTAACAGGTAATGAGGGATCTTGTCTGTTCTAAGTTCGACCTGGTTAGACGAACTAGACCGCCCAAACAACCCATTCGTAAGTCTAGGTGTGGTGTAAGATGATAGGGTTTTAATCGTGAGCGGCCGACGACGACCCACCACGCCCTAACTCTGGCTGCTGTACTTCTCTTTGGGGTCGTACGTTCTGTTTGCAAATTAAAGTGAATTCATTTCTTTAGGAGTCGAGCTCATTTAAATGTGACTCATTTTTTGGGGGGTAGTGTAAGACTGTATAAGGGTACTACTGCAACGAAGTGTAGGGGTGATTAATGATGTATAGCGGTAATTGAATGATTTATAGGGGTGATTAACGATGTACAGCGGTAATTAGGTGATTTATAGGGGTGATTGCGCATTGTATTGGGGTAATTCAATGACAAAAAGGATAATACAATCAAAGGTGCCAATAGTTTGATTGTAATTGTATATCATTAATTACAGGTATAATATTTTAATTTTCTCATCAAAAGTAAAAGTTGTAGCAAACCTTTTCATTTAATACCACCGGATACAACAGCATCTACAGTATTTAACTTTCCTCTCTCTCTTTGATCATAGTACTATCACAAAATATTTGGTCACAATACAAATCACTCCACAGTACTGTACTGTACATTGTAAACACTTGTTTTCAAGTGATGAATGTGGTGGTCCATTTAATGTAATTTAATTTTTCTGGGGTTAGAGCTCACAATAACGGAGTTTGACATTTAAAAAAATGGGATCAATTTAGAATGTGACACCATTTCAAAAGTGCAATATCAAATAGCACTACAGTATATTGAGGGTCTACTGTATTCAATCGTGAAAGGCTTAACACTACTAAAAGGTGACCTACACCACTGAATAATGTTAACATGAGTGCTTCACATGACCCAAAAGTCTTTCATCAGTATCACATAGTTCGACACACACACACACAATCACTAATGTTATATGGTCTGCCATCACTGTCTACCCTGAGCAAACTAACAGAAGATGCATCATTACATATGGCCACTTGATGATATATATATCATTTCTGTACAAAATTTCTGGCCACTTTGGCAACATCAAATATACAGTGGTTAACAAGAGTGACACATTCAGAATGGCCTGTAAGAGGAAATATTACCACCAAGTACACAAAAACATTCATTAGAACAAGAAAGCTTCTGAATACAGTATTCCAATTTATGTACAGTTTTAATTGACCATTATGCCTTAATTTCTTATCAGAGTTAACCTGATGTCACCCAGCACACATTTTTAGATACCTTAAAAATTATATGGCTTCCACTTTTTTAAAATACTGTACACCAAAGTAATAAAATGTGATTTGTCAAATGAAACTGTCAAGTGATATATTTAATTACAAAAATAGAGGAATACTTAAGAAACTACAGGAGATAAATCTGTATGGAATAAACATTATGTTTAAAATAGTTTACAAGTACTTGTATAGTAATCCAGATGAAATTTACATTGTATGAAATTCGATGAGCAATGTTTCTGTGTAACTGAAAATGCCATTGGAGGTTTGGCAGTAGAACTATACATCACACAAATTAAACATTATATTTTTCTTTTGATGGCAATTTCTGTGCCAATAAATTTTAATATTGATTTCAATGGGAAAAATTCTTATAGTCTATAAAATCAAACTGGCACGAAATGAAAATGAAGGAATATCACAACGTAAAATAATTATTTAAATAATTCTAAAACAATCAAATAATTACGTTCTACTTCTCTTATCATCGACCGCTGCATATGATGGAAAGTCTGCTATACTGATTGCTTCCTCCATTTTATATGAAGGATATAGGCCATTTTGTCGGGTGCGGCGGTTCACACCTTTAGAATAACCGTCCCAATGGTTACCGGCTATTCCCACTATGTCACCAACTTTGAGGGTCATCTCATCAGACCTGTAGGTGAAAAAAAAATTTCAAGACCGAGTTATAATCATTCATGACATACAGAAGCTAACAAACATTTTTAGTTACAGTATTTAGAAAGTTACCTGTAAGTACAATTTCAGTTTCCTTTTTCATTCTTTTAAACATTTTCCCACTGAAGCAGAGAGGCTGGAAACAAAACCAAATACTGTACACAGACATTCAACTTAATAGATTTTAATATTTCTTATTTCTTTAGCTGAAAGTGAGAGTTCTTTATTAATTCCTCCTTTTTCTTCTTTGTATTATTTGCCTCATTCTCTCTTTTTTGGAAAAACTATATGTTGGATCAAGCTGACAGTTATGATTAATCAACTCACCTCTTTGGGCTGTGAGGAAACCGGGCCCTCTGATTGTGAGCATTCTGCCCTCCATAGTAGTAAATATCATCTAAGGATTTAAAGTAACTGGAGGCATCAGGGTGGATGCCCTGCATTATCTCGTATGCTATTCGACAAACCTGAAAGCAATATTTGTATAAAATATATATGGGAAGAAACTATAAATTTGATACTACAGGTTGTACCTCTCTAGTCCGGCAACCTCAGGACCTGACTGGTGCCGGACCATGGAAATTCACCCTTTTCCAGGATAGATAGTGACTTGTGCTTATGCTTGGAAGCACTAGCACCACTTTCTCTGCATCATGGTCTCTTTGAAGACATATTGAAGGGTTAAATGTCGTATAGTAGCTTCTCAAACTTGCGAGTTTTTAATTCAACGTATTTTATTGGAACACAAAAAAAATAAAATAAAAATTTGACGGCGGAAACTTGAATTTCGACGGGTTTGAACGGCCCGCCAACGTGCAGACGACGTGCATAATCGTGTAAACAGCGTCATTTCTCTTATGTACAAAAGATTCATCATTGTTTATTACTGAATGTCTTTTTTATTGAATTAATGTTTATGTGTGCAAAATGAGCAATACAATTCATTAATAATACGTAGAATATTAAAACACGAGGAAATGACACAGCATTGTTTTCGTTGATTACAAAACCAGTGACTGACTGGTTCTACATATAAAACTGAAGAAACTCCAAGACAGCAGATTGTAGCTGTAGTAAAATTAATATGGTTGTTTTAAGTAATGTTATTTAATGTTAATAAATGGAACAGTAGAAGTTCTTGACGATAATGGTAAAAGAAAAGAGATACATTATGTAGTCTTTACACATGGCTATACGTCATTACTTAACATAAGAATATGAAAGCAACACTTATTTACTGTTCATATATATTTTAATTAATGTTTCTGAATTTGTTTTTATTGAATTAATGTACGTGTGTGCAAAATTAACAATACAATTTATTAATAATACGTGGAATATTAGAGGAGACGAGACGGCTGCCGGCATTGTTTATGTTAAAGCTTACAAAACCAGTGACTGATTGGTTCTACATATAAAACTGAAGAAAATAAGACCCTGATTGTAGCTGTAGTAAAATTAATGTAAACAAATTAATATGGTTGTTTGAAGTACCTGTAATGTTATTTAATGTTAATAAATGGAACAATATAAGTAGCTAACCATTAATGGTAAAGAAAAAAGTGAGACTGCACGTATGTAAGTGCGCACATGTGAAAACATATTGTCATTACTCTACATAAGAATATGAAAGCAACACTTATTTACTGCTCATATATATTGAAGGGTTAAATGTTGTACTCTGTATAGACAAATCAGAACGGATGTAAACAAACCTTAATTTCGCGGCTTTGTTGTGTTTTTTTTATGGGGATTAGCCCATCCGGGCAAGTCGTTGACTGGCATTGGGGCCTGAGGCGTTAATACTCCTGTAATAATAATACAGTGATCCTCGGTTAACGAGATTTGAGTTAACGATTTACCTTCCATAAGATTTATACCGGTTAACGAGCAATCCCTCGTCTTGAGTTTTCACGAACCGACTTCAACATGTTTTGCTTGCATTTGGCGGTCCACCAGCTGTAGTATTAGTCCGCCAATACAGTTATTGGTTTGGGTTTAAATTCCTTACTACAGTGACCCCTCGATTACTGAACTCAATCTGTTCCAGATTGCGTTAACGAAAAGATTCGTTAACGAAACCATTGTTTCAATGGGTTTTTGGGTAATTGGTTCCAGCTCAAAATTTCCTAAATTCAACAAAAATGGTAGAAAAGGTTCACTTACTTTGAGGTGTGTATGTAGAAGGCTCCTGGATGATGATGATGATGGGATTTAGAATGGGGTTGGAGGAGAAGGAAGAAGGCATTGGGTGGATTAGAATGGGGTTGGAGGAAGAAGGAGAAGATGATGGAAGTCACCCATTCCACCCATAAAATTTTAGCTCTCTTGGTGTAATTCAAGATTATTTTCTTTAAATCAACACTGCGTATATATTGTCAATATGTAAAATATATTTAAAAATGACCAATAATTTTTGGAAACACAGAAAAAAGCGTTTAGTTGAAGAAGTCTCAAACAAGATGTTACCTCCAAGTAAAAACAGAGACTAACGCCTGTTTGCTGTGTTAGAGGCTGGATACCCGCATTAAACTAGTCACTTTACCTTCAATTATGTTCAATAATTGTTAAAATGACTAAAAATTGAATATTAAACTTTTAAAATTATTGAATAGTATAAACTTCTTGATATTTACTAAAATAGTAAGAATTTAAGCCCTAGAACCGATTAGCGGATAGACTGACATGAACACCTGGGTCAGTGCAAGCGAAAACATGTTGAGTCGGTTAAATGAAATTAGATTAACGAATTTTTGTTAGATTAACGAATTGAAGATCATATGGAAGGCAGTTAGATTACCAAAATTTCGTTAACAGTTAGGTTAAGCGAGGGTCACTGTATTTTAGTAAATATCAAGAAGTTTATACTATTCAATAAGTTTAAAGTTTAATATTACTTTTTAGTCATTTAACAATTATTAACATAATTGAAATGCATTAAATCCAGCTACACCAGACAAAATTTAATTCCCATCATCATCATCATCATCATCATCATCATCCAGGAGCCTTCTACATACACACCTCAAAGTAAGTGTACTTTTCTACCTTTTTTGTTGAATTTAGGCAATTTTCGGTGAGCTGGAACCAATTACCCAAAACCCATTGAAACAATGGTTTCGGTTAACGAGCAACCTGCTGGAATGGATTGTGCTCATTAACCGAGGGACCACTGTAATAATAATTCAGATAAGTTAAAAAAAAAAAAAAAAAAGCTGCCTATCTAACTATTGGACAAACTAAAATCGTTCCGGACCACGGGAGTTTCCGGACCACAGAATGCCGGACTAGAGAGGTACAACCTGTATAATTCTGTACGGTACACATGTTCCAAAATAGCAACCATTTTGCATTGTAAGAGATACAAATAAAAGTACAGTACATTAAGTTAACTCTGTGGCATGAAACAGGAAGACATTTACATTACTCCTGGTGAGATGAAGTTGCAATTATTTCACAAAATTTTTTGCATCAAGCCAGACAGATGTGCTCAGGCCTTTAGATAATACACTGTTTTGATATAAGAGACTTACTATATTTATAATCAAAGGCAATAAGAAGTGTTATTCACTTCAATTAAGTTTAGAATATTAAGTGTCTGACATAGCAAGTACAGTAAATGTATTATTTGTATTAATCCAAATTTTTTTTCTAAACTTATTTAAAACTTTGTTCATGCCTCTACATTAGGTCCTAAGTGTGTTAATGGCTTTAGAGCTAACATCCTGTTTCATCCAGTATTTCTTTAGTTTTCATGGCTCCTTTACCATAAGAAGAAATCAGTTCAATTGCTAGTTGCTATAACAGTTTGAGCAAACTTCATTTACTGATGAAAATTAAACCTGCCAAATGAACAAGTAAGTCAAATTCTAATCATACCCTATTAAATGTTTTGTGTGTTCTTACCTGCGATGAAAAGGTACAGATAAGATAGTCTGTCAGTGACAAGAAGTGTACGTCAGCAATGATACCCTTCAGTGATGCATCTGTGTATCGTGTTGCTACAGCTGCTGTGCGGGCAATATTTGGGTCCCCAACGAAGGTATAATCTGGATACCTGTCCAAATGAGATACAAACTCTTTTCATGTGTTTCTGAATTATCAAAGAAAACTTAAAAAATTTAAAAGCATCAGAGCACAGTACTGTACAGTCAATAAAATATTCAACATGATGTGCTGTACTGTAATATACTGCAGTGTATTTATATGCTTATGCACTTAACAATTGTCAAGCCTTATGAGACATACTTTCTTTGAGCTTCCGTAATAACAGTTGGATCATCAGATGCTAAATAGACTCTCTTCACTACATCTGGCTGACGCAACTTGAGGGCTGTGTAGTAATTCTCAACAAGACTCATATATTCCTCAATGCCATGGAATGCTGCTTCTGTTCCAACTTTATCAGTCCTTCGTACATGTATTCTGAAGGGGAAAGGGAATTTTGTTTTTCATAATTCAATAGGAACTATTCAAAAAGTTGAAACCAAATAAATCACATTTTTAAATATTCTACCTTAAATTATTAACTCTCTGCTTGAGTTTCATATCTCAAATTATCTACCATATATACTGTATATGTGTTATTTGGGAAAGAAAATGTGTCACAGGCAAACAGAAAACTTTTTGTTGTTGAATTAAAGTGTTTTTTGTAAGATGGATAGGGTTGGCCAAATAGATAAATGTAGTGTACTTCTAAGCTCCTGCTTATATAACTAATTTCTATCAGAGATTTATTTGAAAAGCAATTAATAAAATGTGTGTGCAGTAATTCCTTTCATTTTCCTACTAAATGGACCTTTCCTCTTAGGGCCAATGATTGCAGTAAAAACTGACAATAAAGAAATTTTTTACGAGCGTGCACGCCTGGGAGATGTTGACGGAACCAGAGAGAGAGAGTGTGAGGGACACTTGGGTGACACCTTGAAAAGATCTGGGTTGAGGCTCATAAATTAGCTAACAAGATTATTATTAAGGTCATAATTTATTTAGACAGCACCTTCCAGCAATGATCCCAACCAGCTGCACCATCAAAATAGATACAGGAGTAAGTAATATCCTGTAGATACTACAATGTTTAAATGATGAAAAAATATGTGATTATGAAGTTATGATATGATAATACGAGGGACGTTGGGTGGGTAGACTCAATTCTCACGCGAAAGATACTGAAGCTAGCAAGAGATGCTGGGTGGGCTGGCTCGCACAAGAACGTGTCCCACACGTAAGGGCTGATCAGGGTTCAATCGCACATAAGTAGGGTTGCGTACTATAAATATTTTTACTTTGAGACCCATTCTGTAGTTATTAAGATACAGAAATTTACAAGTTATATTTTCAATACCAGACGTAACTCTTCTGAACTTACCCAATTATTGGCTTCTGGAATCCTAAGGTTTCTGCCATGTTGTCCAGCATTTCCTGTGTTTTTGGTTGAAGCCTCAGCATGTATTTTAGGAACTGCCCAACCCACCAAGCAGGTGGATCTCCATGAAGTCTTGCCAAACGCTCAGAAATGTCCCGAGGGATGGCCAGGGGTAGATATGTTGGACGTTGTGTTAAGGTATCAATGATAGGCAGATCCACAACCTGAGTTTCATTTAAGCCTGGAGAAACAGTGATAAATAAGTGTCACAAAAGAGTGGGTTACTAATAATCTTCACACAGAGTCCTTCATAATAGGACGGGGTTATCTTGGTACTACAGATCTTACAGAATGAGACAGACTGACCAGTCCTACAGAGTACAGACTGAGGCAATATAATACAGTTCTTACAACCTCAAGTAATTAATTGTTCAATATACAGTACAATCATCTAGCATCATCAAGTTTTGTTGTAAGTATATTTGTATTTTCAAATATATGCACGAATCAGTAACACAGTACTGTACAGAGTTTCCTGTGACAAGTCTGAAATTTAAATTTTAATCCTGATACAACTGTGGTTAGCCATTAATGCAGATACAGTATTTACAAAAGTGCAAGAGTAGACTTAAACCATGTCATGTTTTACCTGGCCAGTGGGAGTGACTGTATCCAGAAGGATCAGTGCAGGTTTCACTGAGTGGTTGGAAGACATCTTCCCAGCCTGCTTTATTGTATCGCCACCCACGGGACTTCAAAATGAGAGTTCGTTTTGTACCGTACGCAACAATAAAACAGTACACAACGTGATGAATTTGACATCCATAACCACAACCCTTAAACAAAATAGATACATCGTAAGTTAATTCAACACTATGAGGCTCCATATACAGTACAGCAGTCAAAATGTTAAAGACTATATTCAAACTATACGTGGAATAACACAAGGGATTATTTACAATTCAATCTTTTCATCACAGGATCACCTTTTCTGAAGTCAGAGAATTGATTCTTACCTTATTAAGATTACAAATAAGTTTTCTGGCTTTAGAACAATCAGGAGGGTGCTGAAGGGCGTGGAGTCTGTTTTGAATTAAGCCACTAAGATCTGCTGCCTCTTGTTCTCTCCATGACCCTAAGCCATCCAACTGACTTAGACGATGAAGATCAAACTGGGTTACTCTGAAGAGCAGGTAAAACACATTCAGGTGAGGATAGAACATAATACATAATGTGCATTAATATACAATTTGTGCTGATGTTCAAGAAAACACCTTTGTGGTACCATCAAGAACAGTGTTCATTATCTAAAGTATATTTATATTTCCCCACCAGAAATATTAAATGACACCCCAAAGGAAAATAATATTCAAAGCAAGAGCCATATTTTTTAAGTCTGCTATTAATGAAATTTTCATAGTACAATGCCCAAGTGGCTGTGATGTAAGTCTTAGCCTAAACAAAAAAGCACCACCAAAGATGTCTTCATCATCAACATCTTATAGCCATTTTCCATAATGGCAGCTCTCCACGCTGCAGTCTCTTGCAGCAAAAATTACCAGGGGTATTTTAAAATTTGATTTCAATCTCCAATTTCTATAGCTGATCAAAATATAACTTAAAGATATACCAAAATATCATAACATTAATAAATCAAAGTAATTTTTTTTTTCAGAAAATATAGAAAAATATATTTGGCAAAATTAGACCTTTAGCACAAGTACATGTGAATGTGGGGGAGAATATAAAAGTGAACACATGCAATATAAATTTATGTTAACAAGTTACTGAAACAAATTCTTGAATTGTAACTACACTGAAGCATCTTACCTGCTTTGATTACTGTGGGCCTCAATGTACTGGAATATTCTTATGTGTGTGTTCCTTGTTAACCTCCTTACTGGACGTAAATTTTAATACGGGTATTCCATTTGGCTAACGTCTGGCGATTTTACTCAACACAGAGAGGCCTCTCATACTCAAGGAGTTAATAAACTATCTTCCTTAACCCCTTTTAATATTTCATTTGGCTCATGCCAGATATTTTATTCAGCACAGGGAGACCCCTCTTACTCAAGGGGTAAGGAGAGTTTTACACTAAATTACAGTAGGCTACAATATATTCTTTTAAGTTTTGATTTATTATACAGTATATAAAAACTACGGTACCAACTACAAGAAAAAACTGGAGTTTATACCGGTATTTGCTTTTACTTTTGTTTTATATAAAATTCTTTAGGATGAAATCTTACCTTGTGTGGTCTGCTCCTTCTTCTAATATTTGGTCTATGTGTGAAGTGAAGTCAGAGTGAACTCCAACTTTTTTGCGAAGTTGCTGGAGCTGATCAGAGATGTACCACCATGATTCCTGCACTCCCATTTCAATTAGTCTTCTAGTCTGCTCAAACTCAAGTGATGGTGTAAAGTCTGATGTCCCTAAAATATGAAACATAGTAGAAACAGTGAAAAATAGGTTACAATATTGCATATCCAACATACATAATATACTGTAGTACAGTATGCTCAATATGTACAGTATCCCATTTCAAAGGAAAAATCCTAAGGGGTCATATCAGGGATTCAAAGTTGTCATGCAGTGGTATTTATTGTCAATCTTTCTGTCCATCATCTGTGTGTGTGTGTATGGGGGGGGGGGGGTAACAAAGATATACTGTACTGTATACATTATATCAGTGTCCTATCAAGTTTGAACCCTTGAACACACCTGAGCTTTCGCATGTGGTTACATTTGGAGGTTTGAAGTTGGCAGGACACTAATTTCTAGACTCATGACACAGTATTTTTTACACTCACACACACACATATGCACAAAAATTCCTAAAACAGTATTGTACTAACTTTGAACCTTTAATATGATGCCTCAACATTCTCAACATCAATCAACTATGATCCTTAATACATACTGTTCAAAATATCAGATACTGTACCACACAAAACTTTTTCGTTAAGAAGTACTAACCTGATTTGTGGTCAGCAGTAACATCAGCCTGTTGCAGCATTCGTTGAGCATGTTCCAGCTTCTTCTGCAACTCAACCACCATGGCTGTGTTGCCATTAGATGTCTGTACTCCTTCCTGTCCTCCTTCATCGTTCATGGACGTTACCTGTCTAAAGGGTACCGGTATTTTAAAAGTGTGGCTTCAAGTGAATCTTTAACACATGAGGTAACCAAAATATAAAGTGCAAATTAATGGGAATTGTAATTAACTGAGCAACTTCCAACCCTTGCAGGGACTTCCTTCCTGAAATATTTAACTTATTCAAAAACTGAGGAGGAACTTTCTTAAGTGTTCAGGGTGACTTATATTTACAGTGGAGACATCATCTCTTAAAGAGTATTTTGAGTCACTCACACCTAAAGTGGCCTACTTTTTAAGTGTTCTTGGTAACTTTCAACAATACTGGAATAAGAGAATTTCTAGTGTTCTTGGCAACACACATTTAAAATAGAAAATTCATAAACATTAAAGGGTAATTTGAATCTTGAGTGAAGACAAGGAGTATTCAGTGTTCTAAGTACAGTACAGTACAGTACAGTACTGCAACTTAAAACTAAAGATAAGTAGATATAATACTATGTGATCAGAGAAACTTAATATAACTGACAAGACAGGGGCTGTCTTAAATAGTATTCAGAGTGTGTTAAAAATAAGTGGAAATCTGTAATATGTGAAGCAGTACAGTACTGTGTACTTCATTAATGCAAAAATAGAATTAGTGTACTGTAGTTGTAAAGTAGTGAAATTAACTTATAAGTAATGTGAAGGTGTGAACTCACCTTTAATGAATTTTAAATAAAAAATTTGACCAAAGTCACAAACAATCTTGGTACCTGTATACTGTACTTATAATAACCAGTGTAGGAGCCCCCCAAATTGAATAGAATAGGTCAGATTAGGTCAGGTCAAATATGGTAAGGATAGATTAGGCTTGGTCAGGTCAAATGAAGGTTCTCTTTTGTTTAGTAGGTTATATGCCACTTAAACACCGATGTACTTAATATAATAATACTGATCAGTGTCACAGTTCATAAGTACGAGTATACTGATGAAAAAATACTGACCAGTGTTACAAACATACTTGGTAAAGTCGTGGAGAACTTGTCTAATGTCATCATTTTGTTTTTTGAGAAGGTCGAGCTCATGTACGGCCCGTTGGAGGCGCTGTGCAAGCCGCGGGTCCTTGGTGGTGGCCGAGGGCCCGGGGGGAGCCAGCAGCGCCACGCCCACCAGCCATATCACGCCCACCGCCCCACCCACACGCCACGCCCACCCGCCCACCCACCGCATCCTCACCCCTGAAATGATAAAAAGAAATTTGATGAACATTATGATTAATACTGTACATGACTATTGACATCTTGAATACCGTACTGTATACAATAAGATGATGTCTCCTTGCAATCTTCAAAAAGTTATGAAAAATACACCAAAAATAGCTCGGAAATACAGTTTAATACACCAGTGAGAACATGATCATACTAAAGACTATGCAAGGCCCCGTAGGAACCTTTACCTAACAACAGTAAAAATAGATACATAAATGAAAATAATGAAATAGACATTATCACAGTAAATAAATAATAAAAGTAATAATAGGAATGTGTCAAGCCACTGAGGGTTTTCGGTCCAAAGTGTTCTCAACTCACCTGAGAGCTCGTTTCCCATTTACATACCACACTTGATTAAAATTCATTGCTATTCGTGTTAACGCATTCACAAACTTGGACGGACACACACACATGGACACACAAAGGCACAAACACACACAAAGGCACACCCAGCATCATCGTCCTGTACTTAAAAAAAAAAAAGAGCTAATGAAAGGGATGCAATTTACTTAGATGATTCTACATTACCACACATGCACAGGTCGCTCCCCCCCCGGCGATCTTAGTCCTTGAAATATTGGAAATAAAATAGTAAAGATATATAAAAATAATAATATTTACATAACAGTATGTGTCATCTGATGTAGTTTTGTGCCGTTTCATATGGCACTGTGTCATGTTGTTTCGTATTTCGTATTGTGTCATGTCGTGTTGTATTGTCATATCGTGTCGTATGTGTCATATCGTGTCATATCATATTGTATTGTGTCATATCGTGTTGTACTGTGTCAAGTTGTGTACCTCAGCGTGGGGCAACATAAAGGTATACAAAAAATAACTAAAAGGAAAAGGATAAGTAACTGTCCACCCCACAATCACCACCTTACAGTCACCAAATCACCACCCTAGTCACCAAATCACCATCCTACAGTCACTAAATCACCACCCTACAGTCACCAAATCACCATCCTACAGTCACCAAATCACCATCCTACAGTCACTAAATCACCATCCTACAGTCACCAAATCACCACCCTACAGTCATTACATCATCATCCTTCATATCTTTCTATCTCTAACATGTAATGAGGGGTCTCTCTCTCTCTTCAGTCTGAGGGAGAAACATCAAAAGAAACTTCAGCTGACAGGATTTGGTCCACTTTAATATATTGGTGGTGGAATTTCGTCGCGTGGGAGAGTGTCAGGTGGCGCGCCGGGTCCTTCCAGTGCCTGACTCAGCCCAGCCCCCTGGAGGAGAGTGCTAACTTGTGTCCAGTAAGTTTAGCCCCCTTGGAGGAGTGCCAACTAGTGTCCAGTAAGTTTAGCCTCCTGGTGGAGAGTGCCAACCCGTGTCTACTATAGTCTAGCCCCCTGGTGGAGAGTGCCAACCCGTGTCTACTATAGTCTAGCCCCCTGGTGGAGAGTGCCAACCCGTGTCTACTATAGTCTAGCCCCCTGGTGGAGAGTGCCAACTTGTGTCCAGTAAGTTTAGCCCCCTGGTGGAGAGTGCCAACCCGTGCCTACTATGTGCCCAGCCCCCAGGAGAGTGCCGTCCGTGTCTAATATAGTCTAGCCTCTGGTGAGAGTGCCAACCGTGTCTACTTAGTGTAGCCCAGCCCCTTGGTAGAGAGGCTAACCTGTGTCCACTATGCAAATTAGCCCCTGTGAGGAGTGCCAACCCGTGCCACTCACTCAAACCAGCTAAACTATTTTGTGTAATTGGCCTTTGATTGTCAGGTAAATCAGGAGGATAATTGGGGAGGAGAGAGAGAGAGAGGGGAGAGAGAGGGGGGGGAGAGAGAGAGGGGGGAGAGAGAGAGAGGGGAGAGAGAGAGGGGAGAGAGAGGAGAGGGGGAGAGAGAGGGGGGGAGGGAGAGAGAGAGGGGGGGGAGAGGGGGAGAGGAGAGAAGGGGGAGAGAGAGAGAGGGGAAGCAGAGAGATGAGAGGGGAGAGAGAGAGAGAGAGAGAGAGAGAGAAAGAGAGAGAGAGAGAGAGAGAGAGAGAGAGAGAGGAGAGAGGGAGAGGGAGAGAGAGGGAGAGGAGAGAGGAGGAGGAGGGAGATAGAGAGAGGAGGGAGAGAGAGAGGAGGAGAGAGAAAGAGAGGGAAGGAGGAGAGAGAGGGAAGGAGGGAGAGAGAGAGAGAGGGGAAGGACGGAGAGAGAGGGAGAGGGGAGAGAGAGGGGGAAGGGGAGAGAGAGGGGAGGGGAGAGAGAGGGGGAGGGGGGGAGAGAGAGGGGAGGGGGAGAGAGAGGTGGGGAGAGAGAGGGGAGGGGAGGGGAGAGGGGAGGGGGGAGAGAGGGGTGGAGAGAGAGAGAGGGGAGGAGAGGAGAGAGAGAGGGGGGGAGGGAGAGAGAGAGAGAGAGGGGGGAGGGAGAGAGAAAGAGAGGGGGGAGGGAGAGAGACAGAGAGGAGGGGAGAGAAGATAAAGGGGAAAGAGATAAAAAAAATAATTTTCTTATCTCTCTTGTACATCAATAAGTAGGTCAGGGTCACAGTGAGGGGCGGGCCAAAGTCCTGATTCTCCAAGGTTCGTAACGTAAGATGTAAGAATGACCTAACCTGACATGATAGGCCATAACCTAAACTGACATGATAGGACATGACCTAAACTAAACTAACCTAACATAGCCTGGCCTGACTTGACGTGACTTACTGTAAGTTAAAGCACATAAATAATATCTACAAAAAGCATAAAATTTCTACCAACTAAATTCGTTCACTTACAAAGGGCAAAAATATTAATGACTATATCTTAAAATAATAAATAATAATAATATCTATTAGGAATAAATTTCCTCTGAATTATATGAACGAGTTATCTCAAGGCCATTTCGGCGCCACCGTTGTTGTCTTTGTAGGGTAACTAAGGTGTGTATTATTCGTCAACATCAGTTACGGACCAAATTTAATACGTCTGTCGCTATCTAATTTTTCTACTACGATGATGAAAGATATTTAGATTTATTTCCCACTATTTAACGTAAGGTAACCAGAGAGAGAGAGAGAGAGAGAGAGAGAGAGAGAGAGAGAGAGAGAGAGAGAGAGAGAGAGAGAGTCCACGGTAGTGTAATTAACATGTACTCAACCATAGAACACACCTCCACATACAAAGTTACGAACGTAAAGTTAAGTTAGAACAGATCAGTATAGATTATGTTAGCGATAGGGTGTTTAATTATTACGCAAAATATAAACTTGGGTGCCTGTTATTCAGGTGACCCCAAATTCCTCGAATACAGTACAGACATCTTCTAAAAAGGTAAATCACCCAGGTGGAAGTGATGGGTCGTTACAGCCAGAAGGCGGCGGTGGTGAAGCTACAAGGCCACACCACCTGTCAACACAACAGGAAGTCAGACAGACACACACATACACCTGGTAACATGGTAGAAGTTCTACAGTGATCGTCCACCACCACCACCACCACCACCTCCTTACTCATCACTCACTTACTCCTTCTCACCCATCCACCCACCTCTCCTCACTCAATCAATCACTCACCACCTCCTCTTCAATCACCCATCCATCCCTCCTCCTCAGTCACCCCAGCTACGTCGTGGAGTTCTGCTGCTTCCTGTCACCACCTCAAAACCGTCTTGGTTACTACTCATCGTGGCCAACCGTCTTCGGTGTGAAGGCAAATGTTCCTTACAGAAATGTGGGAGGTTATAGACTTGACCCTGTGGAGGCGTAAGCTCTACCCACAGGATTGTAAACCAATTAAAGAGAAGTGTCTTATCAATTTTGCAAGAGGTCTAGTGATTGGATAACAGAATGCTTAACTAGGCACTCAGGGAGACTATAAGCACTGAATTGAGTCTAGCTTGGAAAGGGCCTGAGTGAACGGATTGACAAGCGTGGAATTACAGCGTGATCCAGGTAGCCGAATCGTGTGGCGGTTAGCAGTCCTTTTCAATAGCTATTACAGACGCACAAAAGGTAGGCCTGTATTTTAAACCTCCCACAATAAATCGGGAAGGTAACCTAGCCTCCCATTTCAATAGCCTTTTCTATAAACCTACAATACATAACGACCATACCAAGTTTAAGGTGGCGGGAGACTTGACACATGACTAGTCCTCTGTCCACGACTGTCCATGAAGGCGGGTGATTGACTGCTACTTAGGAATTCTTATTATGGTCACAAATAACCCGGGGCAACACCTGGGCGGACTTAGGCATGTGGAAAAATAAATAAATAAATGCGTTAGAAGGTGACTATAGGAACACACAAACAAAGTAACAACAATACCATGAAAAACTGTAGGGGAGAGTATCCACTACAAAGTATTGTAGTTATACTCTTCCCTACAAAACAACAACATGAGTAATGACAACAATAACAAGACAAAACAAGAGAAGGAACAACAAAAACAACAACGATCGAGGAAATAAATCAGAAGAATAAATAACATGAAATTCAATACCTACAGTTGTATCAGTCACTCTTAAGTATGCTTTACACTGGCAAATGGACGACGCTCTCCCTCACTGAGTAACGAATTTGTGTAATTATTCCGTAAATTATGTGTCAGATTTAATATATTTCCTGATCGCTCGCTCGCTCTCTCTCTCTCTCTAATATTTATACTGCTCTCTCTCTCTCTCTCTCTCCACATGACAAGACAATCCTTCACTTTCCACCTTTTTCCCCACCAGTATAAGGTCATCACTGTACCTGTAACCATCCGCCCTAAATCCACACCTGTATTAAGGATTTCTTCAGTACACCCACAATATATCCACACTCACGACCCCATTTCACACAAAGTCTTCATAACAAGTTTTAATCCATTCAATTTCTAAGATCTGACGTAGTAAAATAAGATCACATTCTAGTGCCATTATGACCTTGACCTATATTATATCTGATTTACGACACACACACACACACACACACAAACAGGGTCATTCTAATACCTTGCAAACAACAAAAACAAAAATAACAGTTAACAAATATAGTGAGAGAGAGAGAGAGAGAGGATGTAAATCAATACAAACCAACTACACTTTCCTCTCTCTCTCTTCGTTCTTACTTTGTTTAAATTCTATTATCTCTCTCTCTCTCTCCTCTTCACAGACTCACTCTCTTTCTTTACAACGATAGATGTTCACTGTACCTCCCATTAATCTCTCTTCTCTATCTCTCTCTCTCTCTCTTTTATTCACGGTTAATCTTTCCCTCTCGTTTCTCTCTTTATCTTTCCCTCTCATTTCTCTCTTTATCTATCTCTCTCTCTCTCTCTCTCTTCCCCCCTCTCTCTCACTCTCTTTAATTCCGATATAGCTTCCCCTCTCTCTCTCTCTATTTATCTCTTTATTAATTCCCAATATCTC